ACAGGGTCTTGCTATGTACTCTAGGCTGGCCTTGAACTACAGCTCAGGCTGGCCTTGAACTCACAGCAATCCTCCTGCCTCAGCCTTCTGAGTACTGGGATTACAGGTATGTGCCACCATGCTTTACAATAAAGTAATGTAACAGGCAAAACTCTGGATCTTGTGTTATGGTCAAAGATGAAATGTGGCTCTCTAGCTCCTGAAATGTCTATGGATTCTGAAAGCTGAATCCTAGCTGTCTCTAGGTGGTACCTAACCCGTAAAAAGAAACATTTTAAACAAACCTATACACTCTTAGACATCAAAGTAGAGTGAGGAAACTGGTTCTTCCTAAGACTCCAGGCTTTGAGAAGCTCACTTGCTAAGTGTGCCACTGCCCGTTCATCTTCTCCTGTGAGCAACATCAGATTAACTGGGCTGGGTATGATGGCACACTCCTATAATCTCAGCACCGGGGAGGCTGAGACACGAGGATCACTTCAAATTCGAGACCACCCTGGGATACACAGTGAACTCAAAGCCAGCCTGAACTACACAGTGAGAACCTGTCACAAACAAACCAACCAGAACAAAAAAACTCAGGTTAACTGACTTTGTATTTCCCAGACTACAGACCTTATCTCCCCTTGCCTGTCACTACCACTCCATGGTGCCTGGACTCACTTCCTTTCCTTAGGCCTAGCTTCACAGCAGATATAATTAACCAGACTTACTTGGTGTCAGATATTCTTTTTTTTTTTTTTTTTTGGTGTCGGATATTTTTGTTCTACTCTTCCTTGTCTTTACTATTGAGGGCAAGGCCTACTTTTGTTCATAGTTATTTAAATAAGCTCAATAGAGAACTTTAAATGAAAAACATACAGATTCAAAATTTTTCGGGGGAAACTTTGGAGATGATGACAGAGTAAACAAAAGAATATATTTTAAACTATTTGATTGAACTTTAAAAAATCCAGTCACTTAAATCAGATTTTTTAGGGAGAACTTGAAATGACAAATATCCTTCTTAGCATATGGCTGGAAAGGAGTGATCAGATGGTAGCTAATGGTCTTTCAGGGGCATAAATGACAAATGCAAGAGTTCCTTACATTAATGAATGAAGCATTGATGTAATCAGAATCTGGAACCCCTTCAACAGGTGTCAGGTGTACTCTAGAGTGGTCATCTAGGAATAAAAACAATAATTACTACTTTAATAGATCCAATTTTATGTCTCACTATTCCTGAGATGTCTGTAGTTAAGATATCTGTAGTTCTATATGTATTATGATATCCATCTATCAAGGGGTCACTCCAACATTATTTGTAATGTCCCAAATTTGGAAATACCCCAACTTGCAAAAGAGAACTAAATAGCCATACATAAACACTAAGAAGTCAATAAAAAGGAAACTGTTTGACAGACGAATCGATAATATATTGTAAGAAAAAAGAACAACGTATATGCTGTATCAATTATATTTTAAAATATATAAAACATAATGCTCAGTATTGGTGATGTCTCAAATTTTTCTTGGTCTCAATTCTACCCTAAAAATCTGAGCAGGTATCTCTGATATACGTTCATTTATTGATAAGTTATACACAAGTACTAATGTAATTATGTATCCCAAAACATAAAATTTTTAAAAGATGAATTTTTTACAAAAAGTAAATATAAAAATAAAGTTCACACCTCGCTAGATTATGCATATCCTATTTTAGAGACTACTGGCCTACAAAAATATCTGTTACCTGACAGACCAATTCATTAGCAAAGACTAACTCTAGGAAGAGGTTATGAAGAGAACGTTGTATTGTAATTTCTCTCACAGAGAACCACACAAGGGGCTGGGGATATAGCTCAGTGGCACAAGCACCTGCCTGGCAAGCACTGAGTTCGATTCCTGGTACCAAAAAAAAGAGAACTACAGAAACTACCACCCCAGCAATGTACTTCCCGTCTGGTACTATGAAGCTGCTCTCTTTGGCCTCCTAGAAACTAGGGCTGCAGCAAAAATTCTAACAAACCACCCTAACTCTGTGGGGTTGCCAGAGGAGTCACATAAAGGCTCTTGCAGTCTTCTACTCAAGCCACTGCCCTCCTGTGAAAAATTACAAGATTTCCCATCCTCAGAAAATCTGGCCAGATATGTAGTTTCAGTTTACATCCCAAAGCCCTACAAACACTTACAAGGCAAGATGTTTACGTATCGATTTTTTTCCTTGTTTTCCTCCTTAGAGGCAGCCTCACAGGTGGCCTGGATAGGACAAGCAGGGAGAGCCTAAAAGGTTAAGGAAAAATTAGAAGAGTTATTAACATGAACAAATATTAAATATGCAGAATGTTGTACTAAACCCTGAACTGGTAGCAAGTCCTACCTTTTCTTGAAAAACAGGGCATGGACCCAGATGAATATCTGCAGTCTTAACAAAGAATGTATCTCTCCCCTACTTAGCTGCAAGCTCCTTAGAGTTTAACACCAAGAATCCCCAGAAGGCAAAATGCCCTTCCTGCTACTACAGTATAAGCTCAGCACATTCTATGTGGTTTCAATGCTGGGTTAAAACGAAAACCAGTGGGTGACATAACAGAAAAAAATGGGCCATTCATTCTCATGCTAACCACTATGCAAAGATGAGATGCACCTCAGAGAACCACACAGAAGGTCCTGCTGGGCCACTTGGCCATGTGGAGCAGCTTTTTACACTGTGGCTCCAAAATGACTTTGTGTGATTTTGCCCTCCCAATGAATGATATTAATTGTTTCTGAGAGGCCTCTACATGATCTACCTTTAAACATTTATTTTTAAAGTCTTTTTTTTTTTTTTTCAAAAAAGGGATTTACAGAGGAACACTCTCCCAAGGATTCACAGAGGGACAGGGCACTTCGCCTCTAAGGTTGTGTGGCGGGGAAACAAGGACTGGTGGGTGGAAGGGGGGGGGATTTACATATGCAGCAGGTGGAAAGCAAAGTGGTATGAGGTGAGACTGAATGTGCAACAGTTTTAGAGTAAATGTACATTAGCACAGCAAAGTATGTGGGCAAGCATAAAATGTTTTGACATGAGACAGCCTGGGTTGCATCAGCTTAAACAAATTCATCAAACCTTCTAGACCCAAGTGTCCTTATCTGTAACACTGGAGTAATAATATCAAAAGGAGTAAGTGGGATAATCTCATGTGTGGCACAAAGAAACATTCAATAAATGAAATTTATGAGAGGAGAAGCTACATTTTATTTGAACTGTTCTCCTTCATATGCCCTACATAGTAAAAAAGAAAGCAAAAAGGTGGGGGGCAATTTTAAATTCCAACCTGGACAGCCTCTGGTAAGTTGTGGAGAAGGACATTCTTTAGTTACTATTTTGTGTATTGCCTGAGGCCTGACCAAGCCACGACTGTTGGGTTCTGGAGGAAGCCTAGCATAAGCATTGTAAGCCCCAGGATCAATACTAGATGCTTTGCTGAGATATGGGCAAAAGGAAGATAACATGATGGCTTACTGGTCAGGTCGCATTCCTATGATAATTGAGTTGTAATGTCCTTGCTAAAACAGTTGATATCCTCCAATTATTCCTCTGCTGCCTCCTGGGTGGATTCTGAATAAAAGGTTACTGAAGATGGTAATCAGGAGTCAGTGAGTCCTAGAGGGTGCTAGCACCTGATCACAGAATTTTGGCTCTCGGTTTGATTTTTTTCTTACTTTTCTTATACATCTGCCGGCACCTGGTTCGGGGGATCTGCTCACCCTGGACAGAGTTGGATGAGAAGTCTGACAATAAGTAATTGGGCAACATGTTTTATGAGTCTTAAAAAAAATCATACCCTTGATCTAAAACTCCACTTCTGAGAATCTACACTGAGGAAACAAAAATCTTTATATTCAAATAATTTACTATGTTGTTATTTATAATGACTCCAAACTGAGAATAACCTTAGGACTCAGCAGCAGGGAATAGTTAAGTAAACTATGATTCATATATTGCTCTTTATTCATTCTTTCAACAAATATACACTCTGTATCTCTCAGGCTAAGTACCAGGCTAGGGACAGAGCAAACAGCTGTGAATCAAATACAAAACTGTTCTTGCCCTCAATGACAATACAAACTTGTGGGTATAAAACAAATAACATAATTACGCACTGTGATAAATGTAATGAAAGAATAGGATAGTATCAGGGAGAATTTAAGGGTAGGCAGGTAAGTAACATCCTGAGGCCTCCGAGGCAGAAGGCTCAGCTGTATGAGGAACTGAAAGGTGAGTGAGGGGTCAAGCACAAGGTCAGATTGGTGAGGATGGCAAGAGGAATGAGAGATGAACTTGGCAAGGTAGGTAGATCATTCATTTCCATGTAGGACCTTGCATAGGAAGTTTGGATTTTAAATGCATGGGGAAACTAAGGAATGTTTTAAAAGTGTGATACAATTTTTATCAAAGAATTACTCTGAAGGCTGGGCATGGTGCCACATGCCTGTAATCCTACAACCTGGGAGGCTGAGGCAGGAGGATCACCGAGTTGGGGGTCAGCCTAGGCTACAAAGTGAATTCAAGGCCAGCCTGAACTGTATGGTGAGATCCTGTCTCAAAAAGACAGGGAAAAAAAAAAAAAAAAAAACCACAAAAAAACAAACCAAAGAAAAACGAAAAGAAATAAAAAGAAGAATGCTGTGGCCAGGTGTGATGGTGCACACCTGTAATTCCAGCACTCAGGAGGCTGGCAGAAAGATGGCTGCAAGTTCAAGGCCAGCTTGGGCTACATGACACCCTGCTTCAAAGCAACAACAATGATTCATTCTCAGGAACAAGAGGATGAAACAAGGAATTGTGATGTATTGCGTAAATGTACGAACTTCCCACAAGAAATGTAAGCAGTATGTACTACACACATATACTAATAAAATAAAAGTTTAAAAAATCACTCTGGTTGCTATGTGGAAAATAAGACTGAAGAGAGGCAAGAACTGAAGCATAGAACAGAGGCATGGAAAGATGACAGTGTAGGGAAATGCACGCATTTGAGGTATATTCTAGAATTAGAATCAATGTAGTTAAGAGATGGGTGGACAAAAAGGTGGTTGGGGAGACAAAATCAGTACTGAAAGACAACTCTCAGATTTCTGGCTTTAATCATCCAAAAACTCTGATACACTAAGGAAACACCAGCCCAAACAACCAGTTTTGCCAGATGGAAGCAAGGGCTTTAAGAAAGGAGCAAATATGCATCTTGGAAACCAGCATGTGAATAGAAGAAATTAAAATGAAAGACCCCAAAGTAAGGGAAAGTAGGGTCCCACAGTCCATCTACCTTCAATTATTCAAGAGATTTTCCTTTTGGAGTTAAAACCCTGAAGTTCTGCATGGGCAATTCCCTCTGAACCCATGCGGTCAACACATAAAGGGAGGAGAGAGTGTTTGGGGCTGGGTTCTCACACATGGAACAGAGGAATAATTAAGATTTGAATTTCCCAATTCACTCACAGTTTGCCTTCTCTTTCTTCACTTATGGTAGATTTCCACAGGTTCCTATCCTGTTACAGAGGAGGATAAAATGCCAATTTTTTAAGCCCTCAGAATGGATCCAAAGGCACATCCCTTCTCTAAAATTCCTGTACACTCCTTTAAAATAATATAGACAGAGGAAGTGACACAACACTCTTGAAAACAGTCTTCAAACAGATGGATCAGGATGACAGTGACCACCACCTCACAGTCCTATCAGCATCTCTCACTTCCCAAGTCACAAGGAAGGAAAACTAGCTCTCCAGGTGCACTAAGGCTCCTAAAAGGAAAGTCAGTACGGATAAGCCATTGATTAGCAGGAGAAAAGGCAGGGCTTGCCCTAGAGAACAAAGAGTTAGATGTAAAGGTTTAGACTGAAGAGTCTATGTCACAGATGAAAACGAGGGGAATCCTATTGCTTTTAGTTTTTAGTTTCTACTCTAAAAAACCTGGCTCTGAACTGGGAATGAGCAGCTGAACCAGCTTAGATGTAAAATTCTCTATGAACACTAGGTGGCACCAACACCATTTCCTCTCTTGTTCAAGCCTTAACTAGAACCAAGGCTAAGTATTCACACACCAAAAAGCTTTTCAGAAATTTTTTCAAATTTATTTATTAAAAGAAACCATACACCATTCAACTTAACTTGGAAGTTCTCTTTAGATTCTTACGTCCTCTTTCTTCTACTTTCACAGGCAAAATTGGTATTTTGTGTTCATTATTACCTTAGTATCCTATATATTTTTGCATCCTTAATATATTACAGTCTATTTTTTGATAAAAATGCAATCGTAAGTCAAGTGGTGACTTGTTTTTGCTCAACCTTATATCCTTTTCAACCATTTTTTTGTGTGGCAGCGGGGGGGGGGGCAGTTTACTGGGAATTGAACTCAGGACCTCGTGCTTGCCAGGCAGGCAATGCACTGCTGAGCTATATCTCCAGCCCCCAACCTTATGTTCTTAAACTTCATCCAGGTTATCATGTGTAGCTAAGTTTGCTTATTTTAGTGCTCCATTTTGACACCATTAACAAAAGTGATTTTTCTGTTCTACTGATGAACAGGTTGTTTACAGTTAACAATCTTGCTCTGAGCATGAATTTGTATGTGTTTTTCATGCACAAATACAAGAATTTGGGATGTTTCTTTAATCTTAGCAGATAAGACCAAATTGTTTTTCACGGTAGCTGTACCAGTTTATACCCCCACAAGCCATACTAAAGGCTGTTCTGTATTATCAACATTGGTTATTGTCAGAAATGTGTTAAATGTGGTTTTAATTTACATTTCTCTATTAATGTGGCTCATCACTTTTCAGTTTACTGTTTTTAAAAAAAGATTTCCTCTCCTACGAAATACCTAGTACAGCATTTTCCCTGTTTTCTACTGATTTATTGAATAATCTATAGTTCTTTATATGTTCTGGACATTTACTCATCCTTTATCATTTTACCAAGTTTGTGGCTTGCCCTCAAATCTTTATAGTATTGATGAACAGACTTTTTCAATCTCATACAGTCAAGTTCATCAATGCTTCCCTTTAAGACTTAAGAAATCCTTTCTTACTGAGGTAGAAATATATATTTTCCTACATCATGGTCTCTACATGTTGTAGTTCTATTCCTTAAATGTCAGTGATCATACCAGCTGGAATAGATGTTTGTATCTCGTGTGAGACAAATATTCTATTTTATTTATTCGCATAGGGTTGGTCCAATTGTTCTAGCACTATTTATTATAAAGGCTATTCTTTCCCCAACCAAAACGGCAAGAGCATTTC